ACCAAGAGGTTTCCGCGCTCAGCCCTCGACTGACCTTCCTCGTCATCCTCCACCTTTTCCCCCGCCACCCGCGCCTCCATTGATCGTAGGAAGTGTAGCTCCACGACCACAACTCCAGCGTTCCGTTACCCACGTTCTCTCCCCCCATTCCAGCGCCTCCTGCCTCAAGTGCCCCTTCAGTTTCCGACAGCAGCTCCAGCAGTTCGGACAGTGGGTGCGAACTTGATATAGATAAAACCATGGCGATGCAGCAGAAATATCCCCAACGGCAGAATGAAAGCAGGCGGGACTATTCGAGGCGAATCTACAAAGAGCTTCAACGAGTGGAAGAAACACGTAATCATCCGGAGGGGCGACTGTTGATAGCTGGTGCGTACCTCGGGAGCGAGATCTGCCTAAAGCGGATATCGGAGGAGCAAGCAAAGCCGACATTGGGAAACAAAGCTGGCAGAGGGGTACGGACAACTACTCTACGTCTGTATCTTGACAGCTCGTGGCCCAGCAAAGCGACGAGCGAGGATGTCCGAAATCCAGTTAAAACAGTGTCGGCAGGGTAGCTTAGCTATACTTCGGGACTCAAAGACTAACTTTGAGGACCTGCCCCCAGATGTTCTGTCTGAGCTTGGCGTCTCACGGCCGCCTGCGATGGAGATTGATGCACCAGGAGGTATGATGGAGCCAGGGGGGCTAACGGGGCCGATGGAGGTGGTACCTTCGACAACCCCAAGCATCGCAGAGCCCTCTATGGGCAGCTCGATGGCGAAGGGGGTGAGGTTGGGCGAAAAGGAGTCGGATCCGCATCTAGGTGGTGGGGAACAACGAACTCGATCGGGATTGGACATGGAGCCGCCAAATACGATGGAGGCTGAAGTAATCCCTATGGATCTTGTTGAACCTCAGCCATCAAGCAAGGTCCAGGTAGGCGGTGCTTCGGAGAGGCCTCAGACGCCGCCGCCATCGAGCTTCATGAAGCGCCCTCGGCCTGCAGTTCGGTCGCCTACATCGCCCCCTACACCCGTCTCCAAGATTGGCCCGTCAGGTTCGAAGTCATTGCTTGAGCGGTTAAATCCGGTAAGGATTTCATTGTCCGCACGTCTCACCTCGGGGCTGAGTATTTCTCAGGACGAAGGAGAAATGAATGTGCTGGGGACTGGGCGTGGCCTGGGTGGGGTGGGGGCCACAGCGCTGGAACGTGGAAGAGGCCGTAGAGGGACTTTTTCGAGTCACCCTGCCTCCGCACGGCCTCATCCGAGAGGGGAACTTCCATATCCACGTCGGGCACGAGCACCACGTCGCCCAGTGTTGCCTGTTCGTGGACGTTCACCATTGCGTTCGCGTTCTCGTTCCCGTTCGCGTTCTCGTTCCCGTTCGCCTTCCCCTTCCAGAAGTCTGCACTCGCGCTCGCCCATGGGAATGCGTTTTTGCTCTCATTCCCGTTATCCTCTCCGTTCTCGCTCCCCTTCTTATTCCCACTCCCGCCTTCGTTCTCGTCCTCGCTCTCGCTCTCGCCCTCGCCCTCGCCCTCGTTCTCGTTCTCGTTCTCGTTCTCGTTCTCGTTCTCGTCCTCGTCCTCGTTCCTACTCTCCTTCACGCACTGAGAGAAGCGATTCCATGATATTGTAACGTGATAGGCCAAGATTTTGCGAAAAGTCCTGACCATTGTGCGATTATTGGAAACAAGACGTTGTCCGTTATCATGTAACTTCGCGGACTGCTACCTTCAGGCCCAGTGGAATAGGATTTTTATCCTGATCTTTTACAGACCGGTTTCACTGTTTGCTGGAGGCGGAACAGAGCCGGATTTTTATCTCATGGTAGACCAGACAAAGTCGCAATTCGGAAGCTAGATGTAAATTTGATTCGTAGCTAGGTATCCTAAGCATACACAATGGATTTTTGTCAGAGTTCGTCTTGTTGGGGAGCGTCTACAGTCAGTGAGTCATCCGTGAAGGCGGTGCGGGCCCAGGAACCGCTCCGGTCAACAATCGCCCATTGAGGATTCGTGGTGCCAATTTGGATGCGACCCACCACTGCGCAGATTGCAGCCAAGTCCACGATTTCAATGTACGACGTCAAACTTCTAAAATAGGTCAGCTCTAGTGTAGCATCGTGTCCCTGGGTATCACAAGTGGTATTAACACCAAAAAGAATGGTTTCGGGCTCGGATATGACGTTTGATGGGATGGTGCAGTGAAGGATATACTCGAGCCGCCCATAGTAGACAGTACGAACAAAATCTTCTTTGGCTCGTGGGCGGTGTGCATTCGCGTCAGCAATCAACTCATACTATCAAATAACATATTGGATTATGTAAACCAGAATTGCGATCACTCACACGGACAAAAGAGGCATCGCGGAAACTCTGCCGACTGCTCATCTGCGCAATGGCCCCTCGAATAAGATCGCCCCCATTACCAATGCGAACTTTCGCCCAGCGCTCCATTATTTGTGGAAGGATGTCCAACCAGGCTCTGATCGAGCCACCGAAAGATGTCGTCAAATGTTTTGCAATCTTCTTTCGAATTGTCAGGTCAGGAGTATGGTTGTGTTTGACGGGGTTGCATTCATATCATGTCTCAGTGGCATCAGCTGAGTTACGTTGTAGCGGTTTACAACCTCAAATAATTGTGCTGCCTGATACGAGGCACGTGAATGGTTGTTTCCGAGATTTGATGGTGGGTAAAAGCGAACCACACCAACGCTCCATGATGAAGGTCCAATTGTTACATGGTGGCCCATTGTTTCGAATGTCATATGGGATATGAAGGAGTGCATGCACAGTGAGGGGGCATGCAGATAAATGCTGAGCCGAAAACTGGTAGTAAATACTAGAAAAGCCACGCAATATATTGTTTCACACACAAAACTCAAGTGATAAAATGAACTCACATTTCATATTCTTTCACATAATCAACGATATCTTGCTCCAACTCATCCAGGTCTTTCTCTGTGAAAGAATATTGAATGGTGCATTTGAGGATTGAATTGAATTTCATGAAATGTTTGTAATATTTGGGGCGGTTGAACCTGTTCCTGAGAACATACGGCACTATGTGAATCATCCAGAAAGCCCAATCTTCAGCTGTGAAGATGTGCTTTTCCATCCAAATGTTTGGGGTATGACATCTGAAGGATGAGGGTACCGTGTCCCCAGCTTGAGCAGTTTCTTGTCCGATTCTTTCCCAGAGAGCTTCGGAAAGCTGATAGCTTTCCTTCCCCTCATCCAAGCCTTTATATTTACCTTGCCATAGTGCAACCAGATTTTTTGAGTGATTTTCTAGGCAAAGATGCATCCAATCATGGGGGAAAGACCTAGTAATTGAAATGGATGGAAGTTCAGTGAGCACACAGTTTCCCTTGATCCCAGACTGTTGTTGGATTTTAGAAAGCTTCGATTTTGAGCCTCTGGAACTGCCTAGGAGGGAAGCGACCTCTGAGAGTGTGTGTTGATAATCAGATTTGGAACGGAGCAAGTTGTCCCGAATATCCCAGTATGTATCACATGTTTTGGGCTGGTCAAGAGGAGGTGTGTGAGGGCATAGTATGTTGTCGCACCATCAAGATTCCTAATTCCCTTAATGTGGCAGACTGAGCATGGGGAAATCCCATTAGGACCCTTAAAATTCAATATGTGCTTCACAGCAACCATATCGCCATGAAAAGAAATCAGATAAGCTTGAAGCTTGAAAGTTTCATTTGAAGTTATATCCAATACCCATTCTCCCAGAGCCAGCTGCTTGCAGTCATCAACAACTGTCTGCAAGAAGGAATTGAAGTCTTTTGGTGCCTTTGGCCCCTGGATTATAGCAAGTGGGATTATATTTGATAGTTTAGTACGTTCCTTGGGTGGCAGGTTGAAGTTGATTGTGATAATGGGCCAGTAAGTCATGCTGCCATCGTGTTGGCATTTAAAGATCTGAAATCCATCCATCATGATCCCCAGTGCAATGTCCCAGTGATCACCGAATAAATAGTGCTGATATCGCTGCCCATCAAGACAAACTTGTTGTTGCTGTAGATGATGGTAGTGGATTCCATGAAAGACATCGTCAATAGTCCCAGTATAGAGCCCCACGGTATTTTAGATGTTCAGCAAAGCTCTTGTTTGTGTAGAGCGCTTTGAGGCGAGGTCCCATTGGGAGATAATGGAAGGTCTTGAAGGGACGACGACAATTTGGTTTGAAGTGTGATTGCTTGCAGTATGGACAAGTATTGAGATTGGCAAGTTCACCAGAAAAACAGCAGCAGCTGTTAATGCAGCAGTCATATGAATGCTCTATGACATGGGAAAGCCTGGAGATGTATGAGTGAAGTTGATGAAGCGACTTCAGTTGAAGGTCTTCAAAGCGTGACTGAATAATGCTATATGTCAAACCAGACATATTGCTGCGAATCATAATGTTGAACATCTTCAGGTTTGTGTAGTCTACACTGGAAAGGGGCTGGTTGTCTGCATTTGTAGGTTAGCTGATGACAAAGTGAGAGAAATTACGACACACAAAATTGGTTATAGCGCCGTAAGTTCATGCCTGCTTTATATTCCTCAACAGCCTCCATCCACTCTTCCAGAGATGCCTGGTTAGGCCCTGAGAATTCCCCCGATCCATCATCACTCTGGGATCCATCATCATTCCGATCATTGCTTCCATTAGCATTAGGAGCAGATGTTAGCACCAAACTGTATTCATAGCTGACTGGAAGCATACAAAATTTTGCAATCATCGTCAAAGTGTGCCATTTCCACTTCTGAGGCCCAGTGCTCATATTTGAATGGATCTTCCCATGGTGAATTCCCCATTGTGTTGAGTTCTGATTCCATAGCAGGATTGAGAGTTCCTTTTTGCCTTTTGTAATAGCTATGGGGAGCCGGACATCCAAAAAGATGTGACCTTTTGACTTCATGGTGTCTGCGAGCCATGCTAGTCGAGTACCTTGGCTTCCAAGCTTTGGTTGTGTCACTTGTGTGGCAATCGCAAACCATAGCTTAAGGCAGTCTCAAAATGTTTGATCAAAGTACCCAGATGTGTCCCACCTCTCAGAGAGCTAAACGGTTGAGTGAGAGGGGAAATTACACCAATGGAAGCTGCAGGCGCTTGAGACATGTTATTTTGGCATATTTGGTTCTGTTTGAGATGAGAACGAATTCAACTTGGACCAAACACAATCTGCCCAGGTGACCAGCCTCTTATGCTCCACCATCGCACCATTTCTCATGCCATTCTGTAACTCAAAAACGCATGATTTCTTCCCTCAGATGTGAAAAAGAACAGCTCGAGAAGGTGCTAGAAGGCAAGTCTCCCTCTATTTTCACATTCAAATGCATCGATCTACGACCGTGTCCTCCAGGCCTCCAGAAGGATGCTGACACGTGTAAGTGCAGTAGCCTCTCTGCATTGGCTACTCTGATATATTTTGTTGCACTCAGTGTGTCAAAACCATGTCCAAGAGCAAATTCCATGGCCACAGGGTCACACGGATCGTCTTAATTGTGGCTTCTGTCTGATGGAGGAACTGAGCATTATGAAAGAAGATATGAACACTGTACGAGTGAGTACTGAGGCCTTCTAATTCACGTGATACTGCAGTGTGACAACCAAATATCAGGAATCCATTCAATCTGCCCTATGCACAAATATTGGGGGGCCATACCTTAAAGGCACGATAAGATACAATGCCATTGACATTGAAATGCTCAAAATAATTCAAGATGAAGTGAGCCTATTTAATCCACTTTCCTCATCATTATAGCACACTGATTATTTGCATCATGCAGATCCTTATCAAGCATGCCTGGATCAAACAGAATTATGAAGAAAGCTGGCCTATTCCAGCACTAATCAAGACAGCAATAGAGAATTGTAAAACAGTTCTTCGACAAAAGGCCAAACAAAAAGGTGATCAATACGCTTGCTGGACCAATGCTAAACAACTATTCCGCTGTCCCATGCAGGTGAAAATGTTAAATGGATCCCAGGACTACAGCGCATAGCTCATCATGTCTCCCAGAATAATACTGCCATAGATAATGTCGCCATCAAGAGTGACACTGAACTGGGCAACTGCGGAAATGACCCCACCAAATCAGACGAAGAATCAGATGACAGCTGCACTAAATTTGATGGGGGCCACACTGAATCAGATGATGACCAAATTGAATCAGATGATTACCATGCTAAGGGTGTGGGAAACCAAGGGATTACTGGAAAAGTGTGAGGGAAAGGTGAGTATCACCAACATTTCCTCTTTATCTGGCATTCATGCAGCAAACCAAATAGGGATGACAAGGATAGGGTCATCCATGACCAGTCTGATGAGACATCGCACCCAAGACAACCATCAGGCCAAGAGTATTTCCTTGATCAATCAATGCATTCACGATGTCCATGCTAACACCTTTGTTCAGAATGCAAAATTCCATCAAGAATCCGCTTGCATCTCCCTTCAAAGAACAAATACATTGATGATGCTCTCATGGATGAAGGTGAGCGAAGTTGACTTGTTCTCAATTTGTTGCAATTTCTAACATCTTGTAGACATCGATCCTCTTTGTCATATCCATCCACAGCCATTGTCCTTCACTACCTCTGGTCCCTCTGGACTACCTCTGCTCCTTCTTCACTAACCTCGGAGCTCCTGTATTCCACAATCACCTCCACTTCCCTCGATGGTCACCACCCCTCTTTTCAATATATTACCTATGCCTCCCTAAGTACAGAGCCCTGAAGGCTTCCAGACAGCTCTGACATCTGCTAGCACACTCCTGCCTCTGCTGGGCAATTCACTCACTTGCCCTGCAAGCCCACCTTTGGGCCTATCCCTCCTTTCCATTTCTGGGTTATTGCCTACCATTCTGCTAACCCCGTAACCCGACTTGTTGGTAATATTCAATCAGCTAATTAACTCCATTAGCTCTGCTCTGCTCAGCCCCGCCATTTACAGGCCCACCCTTGCTGTAACTATATATACTCAACTTGTACATAGGTTACACCTCAGTAATAAAATCGACTGGAGTTGACCCCCTTTTAGTTCTCGTTGCCAGTAAGTAAATTAGGGCACAGACGTGTAACTTGGCACAGCGCTCCTGGCTTGAGTTGCTGAGGCCGAAGCCCTCTGCCATGGAGACAATCCTTCATCTCAATCCGGTCTCTGACACTCTTCCTAAGCGCAAGTAATGCCTGTTTGTGTTCGATGACTAACTCAGACTCTTTTGGGATGGATAGGCCATCGTCGCATAAGCCATCACAGCAACAACATTGATGACAACAACAGCGAGGACAACAATGGCAGCAACAATGATGATAATGGTCAACAAAGTACACATAGTGGAGATGAGACTGAGGACATGCCTACATCTATCGCACTTCAAGCCAAAAGTAAGTCATTGGTCTTCTTTCCATCTGCAGTTCGCCAACTCTCATTGTAGTGCAGCGACCAAAATGCAAGTGTCAGGGACAGCTCTGAAAGCGGCAAAGTCCTGGCATGAGGGACCTGATGGGACAGATGTCGGCTGTGTGTAGCGGTGATCCCATCATGGGGGAGTGTCCCCGACCACTTAGCCTGAAGTGGGAAGTTGAGAAGAAGGCTGCTTCTTCTGTTCCCACCCCAGGTGCTATTATATACATGCGGTCAGGGTCACATGGGGGGAGCCACATCATCTCTGCACACAGCTGGACCTCTCTGGGTGTCTCCACAGGAGATCCTGAAGGTGTGCCGCTCTGTAGGTGGGGATGTGCATGGTGGGTGCAGCGATCAGGGGAGTGGTATTAGGTGTAGAGAAAAGGGAAATCGACCGTGGAATAGAAATAGAGACAAAGAAGGAAAAAGGGAGAGGAGGAATGAGGCATGGTAGCGGGGGGAGTGGAGTAGGGTGGCGCGGTGCTGGGTCAGGTGGGGTGTGCCCTGACAGCAAGTAAATTTTTCACCCACTCGTTCAGCACACTCATTTCGAATAGCTCGTGCCCTTCTGAAAAGAACCACACCTATCGTTGGGGAGAACAGAGTGGAACCCAACAGCACTCGCTTGCAAATCCATGGTAACCGATTGGACAGCAATTGCACTCATGCCAAACTGGGAAAAGAGGCATTCAAGCTTTTCCTTCTTGACTCAATGCTCATGAATAATTTCCAGGTACTCATAGGGATGATCCACTACACAGTGGTAGATGCATGAGTCTGAGGAGCTTGGGTGTGAAAGGAGGCGATGAGGAACAGGGAAAGTGCAGATGTGCGAGCCTGAGGAGCTCCAGTGAGAGATGAGGTAATGCCAACCATTGGTCACTTCATTGTGCCTGACTCACTCCAGGTCTCCCAGGTTAACAGACTTCATGCTTCTTCACATCGTGATCTCGGCCAACATCATGGCTTTTCTTTTCTGCTTATGATTTTCTTGTACCATTTGTTCATTATCTCGATCCTCTGCTACCAGAAGTTGCTCTCCACCTTTCATTCGTTTCATATCCCACAAACAATATTGTAGCACTCATACCAAGCTCAATCCGATTATGTTTGCTGTAGTTAATGATTCGATCTGGGGATTAGTCCACTTCTGGGTTGATGTATTGAGGACCCAATCGTGAATTTATACAGATAAATTGATTAAATCCCCAGCAAGTCAGGATTTTTGGCCATGATTCTGGTCAAATTGGTGACAAAACGGAGATTTATGAATGCTTGGGGTCAAGATAAACTCCTGGTTTATGGGGAAAACTCTGTCCACATTTAACCTGACTTTATCATGGATTCTTTTCTCTCAGCGCACACCATCGCTCTTGCTCTCGTTCTCGTTCTCACCCTAGTCCTCGCTCTCGTCCTCATTCTTTTTCTGGTTCCCAGCCTCCATGCAGGTCTCAGTCTCGTGCTCGCCCATGTTCTAGCCCCCACCCCCACAGCAGTCCAGCAAGGCATCCACAGGAGCAGCAATTCACTAGTGGGTTGCCTTCCTTGGCCCCCTTTGTACAGATTCCCACACACAAGTGGTACAAGATTGAAATCTCCACTCAATGCTGGGTTGCAACACTGCTGCATCACCTCGAGCCAGCAAGCCTTGCTGCTCAGTATTGGTTGCATAGTGTTTGGGGCATTAAAGCAAACATTCTTAGACCTTCCTTTAGGAAGGATTTGCAAGGGAATAGCACTACTCATGTGTGGAGACACATGTTCTTGCTGAAGGAATCCATCCTCATGGATTCTTTCAAGCAGTTTATTTTCGCCACAGGCCATTTCTTTGATGATCACACCAGCAGCATACCTCTCCTGGATGTGAAGGGGATCGCAGCTTTCGCTTCCATTGACGACTTGGTCTGCACCTCGTGTGCCTTCAAGCATGCTGTTGACAAATATGAGCTAGCTCTACTTCATCAATTAGCCCCTCCTCCACTTCGTCATGAGGTGATCCCCGATGTCTTGCTGGACTATTGGAGCTACCCACCCATTGCTGCCAGTCCTCATCAAGTCCTTCAGAGGCAGACACTTCAATCTTATTCATTCACATGCCATGGCTTTCAGAGTGCATTGCCACGTTGCCAAATGAACAGCAGACAATCCAGCTCCGGCGTTTTGAGATGATATGTTGCGCTATTCAGTTGTACTACAGTGCTGCTATTGATCGTAACACATTCGGCAGCATCAACTTTGTGGCAGAAATTTGGCTGGTTGAAAGTGGTGAAATGAATGCTCTCATTCAGTGTATTGCTACATGGTGAGGGAATATCATACAGAGGTCACTATTGGCAGTCATGGATCGGAGAAAGAGGAGCTTCGATTCAAAAAAGGAATTTGGACTTTGCAGATTGATGCTGAGTGCTCTGTTGGCGAGTTCTTGAGACCTTTGGGCATGTAATCCTGTTTTTTATTATACATAAATTTCCTTCCATTCTTGGCAATCATGTTTGTGCATATTTGTTTAGTTCAGTGCCAAGAATGTTTCCACATCATTCCACATCACACTGGCTTGGTTGAACAAGGTATGCAAGCTGCAGCATCATCACTAAGGATGTGCTAAGCCATATTTCAGACTATCATTGCAGCTTTGTTCTAGGCCTTCATTTCAGGGATTCTCGGCCACGTCTTTGACATTGTCATTGAATGACTGAGTTTTCTTGTTCAACCCTCCTTTTCAGCCTTATTCTCTTAGAGGCATTTGGCGTGTGTTTACAACATTGGGCATTGTAAAACAGGATCACTTCTCCCTCATATTGTTAGTTTGAAGAGTCTGACAGCACAGCGTTCAACATTTGTGGTGGCAAATACTTCTCCTCAGAATTCATCCAATTTGTAAAAGAATCTTGCACAAGAAGACAAACCCCCATACACAGAACAGTGTGGCTGAATAGGACATTAGTGTCAGGGGACGGACCCCGGGTCCCCATGACTCCTCTCTACAGTCCACAGTCTGGCCTGTAAACACAGCCCATCTCAGGGCATAGCTACTGTGGGTAAGAAAGTGATATAAACAAAGGGGCAAGTAGATACACTTGCCTACTGTGGGTAAGAAAGTGAGAAGAAGGTTAACTTCTCACTTTCCCACAGTGGCCCCAATATGGCGAAAACTTCCGGGGATACCCGGAAGTCACATGAGGTGGGATCCGGGGTCGGATCATGCAGCACGCAGAGCGTGCGGTGCAGGAAGTGTGTGGGAAGTGGAGTGGGTCCGGATGCGGGTCTGGGTCCGGGCTAAGTCAGGGTATGTGCCCTGACAATTAGTAACCATGTTGATTGCGATGTTGGAAGGTGTCAAGTCTCTGGTGGGACGTACCATGTGGCTGTATGCACTCCGTCATTCTACCCTCATTAAAAACATCATTCCCCACTCCATGTTACCCGATGGCGTATCCCCTCATGAACTCTGGACTGGTAACAAGCTGTCCATATCCACTATCTGCACTTTTGGCTGCAAAGCCTCAGTAGCCATTCCCAAGAGACAATGCAACAAGCTGGAGAGTCAGTCCACTGCTGGCATACACCTTGGCCAAGCGATTGGTAAGAAAGCCTTCCTCATCTACAACCCGAAAAAATTTGGAATCTTGTGATGTCCACTTCTTTGAGCAAGTGGGCAAGGATTCTGAGCATGTCACATTTGAGGTCCCTGATGGGGACCCTGCAATGCACATGGTAGATCGAGAAGGAAGCAGGGATGAGAGTGCGAGTGAGGTTGAGGTTGAGATGGATGATGAAGGAGAGGGTACGTGTCAGAGACCAGATCGAGATGAAGGAATGTCTCCATGGCGGAGGGCTTCGGCCTCAGCGACTTATGCCAGGAGCGCTGTGCCAAGTTACACGTCTGTGCCCTAATTTACTTACTGGCAACGAGAACTAAAGGGGGTCAACTCTAGTCAATTTTATTACTGAGGTGTAACCTATGTACAGTTGAGTATATATAGTTACAGCGAGGGTGGGCCCATAAATGGCAGGGCCGAGCGGAGTGGAGCTGACGGAGTTAAACATTAGCTGATTGAATATTACCGAAAAGTCAGGTTATGGGGTTAGTGGAATGGCAAGCAATAACCCAGAAATGGAAAGGAGGGATAGGCCCGAAGGTGGGCTTGCAGGGCAAGCGAGTGAATTGCCCAGTGGAGGTGGGAGTGTGCTAGCAGACGTCGGAGCTGTCTGGAAGCCTTCGGGGCTCTGTACTTAGGGAGGTGTAGGTAATAAATTGAAAAGAGGGGGTGGTGACCATCAGGGATACCGAGGTGATTGTGGAATATGGGAGCTCCAAGGTTAGTGAAGGAGCAGAGGTAGTCCGGAGAGATTGGAGGTAGTGGAAGTTGATGGGGCTGTGGATGAATATGACAGTATCCCCTTCTTAGGCCTGAACCCTTGAAGGCCCAGAATTAGTAAGGTGAGGGGAGCTGTACTTACAGAAAGAAGAAAAATGAAAACGGAAGTGAGGAGTGGAGAGAAAGGGAGAGATAGGAGAGGAATTGGGGTTCCTAAGGAGCTTTGGGACCAGGCTTGTCTGGGTACCGAGAGTGGAATGCTTTGACGAGGTTGGAGGTGTGATTGAGTTCGCCGGAAAGGAGCCATTGTGTCTCCTCATCGGTCCCTTTATAGCCTAGCCACTTGACCGGGTAGAGCAACTTGTTGCATCTATGTCGGTCGATCTTGGAGTTGAGTATCTCTTCGATCTTGAACTCGAACTCGCCTTCGATTTCTATGGGAGGCAGAGGCAGCTGGTGGCGGTTCGGAATGACGTTTGGGATGGAGGGTTTGATCTGCGAGACATGGAATACTGGGTGAATGGCTCACATGTTTTCCAGCAGGTGGAGAGTGAGGGAGTGGGTTCCAATGTGGGCAATGATCTTGAATGGGCCGAGGTTTTTTTTCAGAGAGCTTTTTGGAAGGTTGGGTGGAGCAGAAATACTTGGCCTTTACATAGACTGAAGTTCCTACCCCAAAAGCTGGGGCAGGACTCCAATGGGAGTCTGCCGGGCCCTGATAACGGATCTGAGCAAGGTGCATTTCCTTGCAGAGGAAGTGATGGAGGGAGTTGAGATCTACAGAGTACTCCTGGGCATGTACTGATGTTAGGTCTCGCTCCAGGTGAACGGTGATGTTTGGATGGTAGCCTTTGTTGGCGAAGAATGGAGAGACACCTGTGGTGGCATTCGGAGCATTGTTGTATGCGAACTCCACGAGAGGTAGGGGTCTGGACCAATTGTCCTGCTGGTAGTTACTGTAGATGCACAGGTACTGCTCGAGTGTCTGGTTCATCCGTTTGGTCTGTCTGTCTCCTTCTGGATGATAACTGGAGGTGAAGTGGAGGTGGATGTCAAGGGCCTTACCAAGTGAATGGAAGAAATGAGAAACAAACTCCGGACCCCTGTGGGAGGTGATGTGGGAAGGAACCCTGTGCTTGGAGAACACATGGAGGAGGAAGAGCTTGGCCAGTTCTGGAGAGGTGATGGTATCGTGGGTAGGAATGAAAATGCACTGTTTGGACAGGTGGTCCATGATGACCAAGATGGAAGTGAATCCGGAAGAGGAGGGTAGCTGTTCAATGAAATCCATGGAGATGGAGTTCCAAGGACATTCAGGGATGGGGAGTTGTTTGAGTAAGCTGTAAGGCTTATGACGGGGGACTTTGGCACAGGCACAAGAAGTACAGGAGGAGATGTAGCTCTTGACGAAGTTATGGATGCCTGGCCAGGTATACTCATGACGTACTAGATCCAGAGTCTGGTTTTGACCAAGTGTCCAGAAAGTTGGTGGTCGTGTTTGTCTCGCAAAATGCGGAGATGAAGATCATTGGAATCCGGAACATAGATGCGGTTGTCCAGCCTTAACAGGCCTTCGGCATCAATGGACCAGCGGGAATTGGGGAGGTTGGGGGAAGTGAGATGAGAAGAGATTGTGGTATCAGAGGAGAGGGAGGCTAGAATGTCCTGATGGAGAGCCTCTGTGTCAACGAGTACAGCTGCTGTGGCAGCTAGAAATGTGGCTCGTAAGGACACAGTGAGCTGCTCCAAAGTGAAGACCGGTCAGAAGTTCTGTGGATTGATGCAAGCGTAGTCCATATCTCCTTCTTTGGGATAGATGTCCCAGCATCTAGTCAACGCATCTGGTTTCACTCTGAGTCTTCTGGGACGGAATTGGACAGTCATGTGGAACTGGGAGAGGAACTCTGACCAGTGGGCTTGCCGCTGGGTCAAGAGTTTGGTGGTGGAAAAATACTTGAGGTTCTTGTGGTCAGTAACGATGTTGATTGGAGTCCCTGAACCTTCAAGGTAGTGATGCCACAATTGGAATGCATCGTGGATGGCAAGCAGTTCCTTATCATGGGTGTCGTAATTGAGCTCCAGCACCGAGAGTGTTCTAGAGTGGAAAGTGATGGGGCGAATCTCTCTGTCATCACAACAGATGGACAGGATTCCGGAGATTGCGTAATTGGAGGTGTCAGTTTCGACAATGAGGGGGGCATCGGGTACCCAGTGAGTCAGGGTAGGAGCAGAAGTGAAGGCTTCTTTCAAGGTGTTGAAAGCAGAGCGACAGTCGTCAGAGAATAGCCAGGGGGCTCCTTTGCATGTAAGGTGTGTCAAGGGGACCACGATGTCGGAGTATTGGTGGATGAAACACCAATAGAAGTTAGTGAAGCCAAGGAAGGACTGGACATCCTTGACTTTACGAGGCTCAGGCCAATCTTGGATGGCTTTAACCTTCTCGATGGACATGGTGAGTCCGGAGGGAGAAAGGCAGTATCCGAGATATTCTGTGGTGTCCGTATGAAATTCACATTTCTTCGGATTGGTGTATAGGCTGTGTTTGCGGAGTCTCCTAAGAACTTCTTGGACATGCTCCTGATGTGAAGCCATGTCTTCCAAGTAGGTAAGGATGTCGTCTAGGTAGACTACCACAGAAACGTCCAAGAGGTCGGCAAAGATCGTGTTGACAAATCGCTGGAAGGCTGCAGGTGCATTCATGAGACCGAATGGCATGACGAGCCACTTGTAAGAACCATAGCGCATGCAGAAGGAAGTCTCCCATTCGTCACCTGCTGCAATGTGAACCAGGTGGTAAGCATGCCGGAGGTTGAGTCTGGTATAGACTGTGGCATGGCTAGGGGCATCAAGGAGGTCTGAAATGTGGGGAAGTGGGTAGTGATCCTTTTTGGTGATCTTGTTCAGCCCTCAGAAGTCAATGCAAAGATGGAGGGATCCATCCCTGGCCATTGACTTCCGATCCCTCCAATCCCTCTGGTGTACCTCCG